CTAAAAAGGAATACAAAAGCCTAATAACCATTTTTTATGATTTTCTGTATCATAACGATAGGCAACATTTCCTTGAATCCAATATTCATCTGAAATTACTCTATAGGATATTTATGAGATTAAACTTCCTATTAAATTTGGTTGTAAGAAGATAAACACATAAATTAGAGCTGTTGCAATATATGAGAACTTATATTATATGAAATTAAACATTATTGCTATTCCCCCAAATGAGAAAAACACTATTAGATATAAAATTGCTGTAATTAGACTCCAGATGATTCTAAAATAAATGATTGGAGTATCTGTAACATTTATTAAAAAACAATCAAGTGAATAGGCCATAGATTCGATTGGATTACCAACACTATTAATTACAGATGCCAGTCCTTATGGGACTTAAAGTTAGAATGTACTAATAGTTGAAATAATTTAAAGATAGTTTGTGAATATCTTAATTAATATAGCAGTAGAAATTTAATTTAAAGCAACAATAGCTCCAAATGCTTTTAATCGAACTCCAATAATATACTCTTAATTCGTCTGAACAGTGCTGCTAACTGACATAAAAATTGAAATAAGGGTCCAAATGCTAATGGAAACAAGAGATATTACATTTCCAAAAATTTATTCACAGCTCCCACAGGAATATTTAAAACTTACCGAATAAAATCCATCTCCTCTAATATTATATAAATCACATTACTCACATAAAGCACCTATATGTCCGATTGTGCAAGATTAATCTCCTGATAACCATCCTCCCTAACAATTTTCAATAAAGTGATAACACTATTCTATAATATTGCTATAATAATATGCCCGCCAATAACCTTCTCTTAATTCAATCATAGAAGACTTTATTGATTTAACTTTCAAGTCATCTTTATATTCACAAGTAAGAGCTTCTCTTTAAACTGAATATTAGCCTTAAATTATGTCACATAATATACAACCTCCGGAAGTTACATTGAAAAATTCTCCTAATTAACATTAAAAAGTTTTGATATCTACTAACAATTAATAGTTTGTTATATAGTTTTTAATTAAATAAGGAGGAGTAACATCATATTATGGAATTTAGATAATACTACACTATATCTTTAATCTTAAGACGATATCATCATCATATTTTGGATTGAAATATATGATTAAATCATCTAAATTATAATCACCTGTGCTATCATCAAATTTCACTTAATTTTAGGATAAAGTTCCAATTAATCCTTGTACTGCTTCTCCATTAGAATTGTTGATAATAGTAGGAGTTAGCTCACAAGTAGTTCCAGCTAGTTTTTTCTCTTGAGTATTATATTTGTTAAGAGCAATAATACGAAATGTTAAATTATAAGGAATATACTCCGATTGAAATAAATCAAAGAATTTGTAAGATAATATTTATCTTCCAGATGGAAATGTTAAATATTTTACTCTTTTAGATTATCCCAATATCTTATAGGGAGTGATCACTACTTTCTCAATAATCATAGTCGGACTTTATTTTACTTAAATTTTAGTTTTAAAGGTCTACCCTCCATCTATAGATATTGTTAAAGATCTTGGAATCTCAGAAACATCAGATCCAAAGAGAGTTGAATTATTATTGGATAATAATACATCTAATTAAATTGTCTTCTGTAGTTACTATTTATTGAAATACAATCCTCCAGCAATTTTTGCCTAATTATCTACAATTTAACTATCAAATATTATTAACTAAGATTAATTCGAATAATAATAAATTGCCCCTCCTAACTCTGCTTTGTTTTTCTGAAATAAACAATTTTAAATTATTGTATTTGTATAAACAATGAAAACTGATCCTCCATATATTGCATAGTTATTAAAAAACTAACTATTAGTTATTCTAGCTTGATGTTCTAGATTTTGTATTAAATTTGTGTAATCATGTTTCTAAAGTGTTCTTCTCCTATTAACTGATAATAAATCACTTCTTAAAAATGATTAATTTTCTGATTATATTAATGAAAGACATCCTGTTTATCCACATTAACTATTTTAAATTTTGATGTTATTAAAATGGATGTTTTCAATTTATGATTACATTATCTTCTTAATTCTGAAGATACCGTATTCACAAGATTCACATATTATAGTGTCAAATTGTAATTCTTAAACTTTAAAACTATGAGTTGAATTTAAATTATCAATCTCAAACAAACTAAAACTATAATTTGCTTTTTAATAAACTTCGATTTCATTACAAAGTTGTTAATCTTATTCATATTTATGAGATGTATCATAATCATCTATAATCGAAATTTCCTATGGGATGCTTTCTGATGGACATGTTAAAGATTGTGATACTGGATACGTTGAGAATTAACACTTCAAATCTAAATAGTTAGTATGCTATTGCACGTTCTTTGCATTGATATTTATTAATGTAATATTTCCAGTACAATCTAAGTAATATTTATAAATAAATACTTTATCTCAAACTCAATCTAATCAAAGGAGAATATAAAATTGTTGAATTTAAAATGAAAATATCTTAAATCAAAATATTGTTTGCAAATTCAATATCTATCAAAAATTAAATATGAGTTGAAATAAAACTGCAATTGTTAATTGATACAAATCCAAATTTGACCTTAATAAA